AAATAATTTGACCAATCAAATATCTGCATATGAATTCGGCTATCCATTGATTGGGTAAGATAATGTTAAAGAGAAATCTCAACCAATTCCATAATCGTGTTGATCGAATTTTTTTCGCCCCGCCCTCTTAGTCGCAGTTTGCTTGGAACCACTTTTTAGCGCAGTTCGTACACCATTATCATTTCTAATTCGTTGGCTTAATACGATATTTAACTCCGTCGACGAGTCCCTCCGATAAACGATTAGAATTTGTGGTAATTTCTGATTACGATAATAATGAATTCACGAAACGGCCTAAATATTGTAATTAAGGTCTACATATTGTACTTACTAATTACATCCATGGATTATTGCGCCTTATTAATTACTTTTGTTATGTGAATAGTTTAAGCGAACGCTCATGAATTCAACGGCTGTATGTTAGCAGCTCGATTGCTTTTTATAATATTATGAGGTGGTAACGTATGTGACAATCGTGACGGCAAACGCTATAGTACGATTCTGATGATTTTCACCGTTGTTGTGGTATGTAGACTGAAGCCAGGCAGGATGCAGGCACCAATGTTAATGCGACGTTTTCTTTTTGTTTCAATGTCCTGTAAATTCAATTAAGTAAATTTTATAAACGTGTTTAGTGCCATTTATTTATATTGATTATATTTAAATACTGCTAGTACTACCTACTTTTAATATTTTAATATGGATAGGGACGATTTCAAATCACTCCTTACCTGAAGTTAAACTTCAGGATACTTACCTACTCTAGTCTAGACTAAAATACAGAAAAACTATACCTAAAATGGACGTAGTTACGCGAAAACGTTCCAACCCACAAGTCACTCGAAAATGAGTTACCATAACCAGGGTACTATTTTTGACATATTACATCATGTGCACACAAAGATGCTAGTATTTTTAGGTTAGTTTCATCAATAAAGTTTAACCCAAATGTTCCAACCCACCATTATGCCAAGGACGTGTACTCAAAATAAAGTAAAAACATTACATGCATACTGAAACATATTGTTAAAAACTCTTAATAGAATAACATATCGTTATAATGTTCCACTTGTCTTGGAACATTATACTAAATTCATAAAACGCACATTTAATGGTTTCTTAAATGATCCATGTGGGTTGGAACGTTTTTGCAAAATCTTTATACATTTTTTATTTCTGCAAAAATGTTCCATGTAATTTGAAACCTTTTAGATTAATCCATACTGTTTTTTTAAGCTGCGAACACTGTTCTAAATAAATTGAAACCTTTTATTATAATATATTATTTTCTAATTTTTTGCTATAAACAATCCACATATACTTGATCCATTTTTGCTATTAAGTATGTTCTAGAGAAAAAGATATTTTTTACCAAAATAAATAACTATGGTATATTTGGACGTAGTAACGAGAAAATGATCCAACCCACAGCAACCCCAATTTGAGATAAACGCAATTTACACACTTTTTCCCTGTAATTATTTCAGGCAAATACTATTGGTTTAACTATGGAATGCCAAACTGATTATTGAATGATATGCATATTTTTTGTAAATACATAATACAAGGGGCATATAAATAGGTAAAACGAGTTTGAAATGTTTTTGCTAAATTAATTTTGTATGAACCTTGTTAAATAGCAATTATGCATAAACTTTCCAAAACGAATTTAAGTGTATTATTTTATAAAAATAAACCAAAAAGAAATATGTAAAATAATAAATAACAATGAGGAACATACAAAAACAACAAAAAAAATATTTGAAAATGTATTACAAAAAAATAGAACGTGATCTTTTGAGTTTAGAACCTATGCCAAAAATTTGCTGATATGGTTCCAAAAGTTATCAAAAACTTATATTATAAACATTCAATTTTCATCATCGTATTCTATGATCTCGAAGTCCGGAACTCCACCAAACCCATCAACATCATCAGTGCTTCTTCAGAACTTTGAAGCGTTCTATAAAATTGAAGGCAATCCTCGGGTATGTAGTGGTACATGGATTGTAAGTCCACTAATTTCGCTGGAGCAATCGGTTTGTCGTTAGGCCACAATAAGCAAAAATCAGATTCTTTTATGTATTGTAGTTCTCGTTTTATTCTTTTATCAATTTTCAACTCATTGAAATCGTCTTCCATCGTAGACCGCATAAAAATAGAAAAAATTATATCTTTATCCAACTTAATTTCTTTTGTATGTAGCCAACTAACTTTAGATGAGTCTGTAAACTTCTTCCTATTGATAATCTTCTTTTCCAGTTTAGTTGTACTATAAAATCAGTCTTTGTCATTTTGTAAACTTGAAGAGGTTTAACTTTTTTACTTAGTTCTACAATAGTGGTATCCATAGTGCATCTAATGATACTGGGCATTGTTATGTATTGGTAGAAGGAGAGGTAGGAAGAGGTGCACAGGAAGTGGATTGCCTTCTGTTCTGAAGAAGCACTGATGATGTTGATGGGTTTGGTGGAGTTCCGGACTTCGAGATCATAGAATACGATGATGAAAATTGAATGTTTATAATATAAGTTTTTGATAACTTTTGGAACCATATCAGCAAATTGGCATAGGTTCAAAGCTCAAAAGATCACGTTCTATTTTTTTTGTAATACATTTTCAAATTTTTGTTGTTTTTGTATGTTCCTCATTGTTATTTATTATTTTACATATTTATTTTAGATATATTTATAAAATAATACACTTAAATTCGTTCTGGAACGTTTATGCATAATTGCTATTTAACAAGGTTCATACAAAATTAAATTTAGCGAAAACGTTTCAAACTCGTTTTACCTATTTATATGCCCCTTGTATTATGTATTTACAAAAAATATGCATATCATTCAATAACCAATTTGGCATTCCACAGTAACACCAATAGTATTTGCCTGAAATAATTACAGGGAAAAAGTGTACCGCTAAAACACAAAATTGCGTTTATCTCAAAATGGGGTCGCTGTGGGTTGGAACGTTTTCGCGTAACTACGTCCAAATGAAGTATGGAATATTTTCCCTGTCACCTAGAATAGTTTGGTTTTTTCAAAACAAAATAATTGGCCCGATTATAAGTACACTTTTTAAAACTGTTCAATAAGTGTGAATTGAAATATATTTCAATCATTTCATATTAAAAACCATGTACCTACCTATAAGTAAATATTATAATATATTAACTACAGTGATGGTGTCATAAACACAAAAAAAATTAAAGGTGCTTGGATAAAAGTTAAGTGTGAATATAGAAAATCCTACTCTGAAACTTTTGATTTGTATTTACAGTGTCAAAAATTGGTGAATTACTAATTTTACTAATAAATTATGTAAGTTCATATAATGCTTTATCCAATTCATTGTAATGTAAGTTAACGATAAAAAAATCTCAAAAGTTTGATAATAATCAAAATACTATTAACTACACATGCATATAGAATACAAAAAGGCATTTATTTACGAATTATGGCGAGTGATGGAGAAACACTTGATTTATTCGATAACATAATAAATCTGTAACTCATTGCATCTACCTCATGAGAATTGCGTACTTTCATTAGCGTCTGATTATCCTACTGCAAAATAGAGTAACAATAATTATTATCAAATATATAGGCAACATTAGAGAGCATTTTGACTCATGCAAATTTTCATATCCAATTATTTATTTTCCTGTTTGTTTCTGTTGGGCCAATTATATTTTTTTTCAATCCAATCCTGTGAAAGCGACTTGTAATGGAACTAAGTTATGGGTTATGAATTGATACTAAATAGTAGAAGTAGCACGAATTTTTAAAGTATTCGAAAATTAGAATCGTCCTCTGTCTCTTATAGCTTTGCCAAAGTCGGGATAGTACAGTCACATTGTACAAGCCATTTTAATAATATTTTATTAAGTTTACATTCCGAGTCGATGCACTCTCAACTGCTGTCACAGTTGACCCAGTAATTGTTTTAAGAACAATATTTTATTGACGTATTTTAATTATTATCTCGCGACGATCGTCCCGTGACTAATTGACATATTGACAGTCGTTAAGGTCCTTATAACGGCCCCTACACACATAATTGTTGGCGAATAGTAGAGACCGTCCTAGGAAGACGTACAAAATGTCAAATGTATCTGATTTTAAGCTTTAATTAGTGGGCATAAAATTCACTTTCGATTGAGAAATCTATAGTTCAGTTGACATCCATTTCCTTGACTGTAACTAGAGTAAGAATGTTGTTAAAGTACAATAAATATGTTATTTGCATCCTGCAATTTCCTTTTTTAGGAAACGGCACTATTACCAAGTCAAAACCATTAATTACACTGCAGAATAAACCTTTAAAATTTCACTCGAAATGGAGTCAAAACAAAAGACGATCATAGTTTTCAAAAACTTATCAAAACTCATGCTAAGGCAGACTGATTGTTTACGTTCATAAGTATAAATAAGTATGAGACAGCCTCTACGCAATCTTTCGACATAAAAATCTAAGTATGCCGTCTATAAGCCCAGATTATGATGCGAGTCAAACCTGACCCAGTTTAGTTAGAAGAACGTGTTATACACGTAGCCGGTGGCGATCAGGCCCAGCACGAGTAGGCACACCATAATCATTATCTTCTTCTGCACAATGGATAAACACAACACATATTAGTGACTAGAATTGGTCAGGGCGGCGGTCCGTTACGGTCGCGTTCGGGAAACGATGCGGCCTCTCTTTGATTAAAATGTGTTCTAGCCGTACTGAACTTAAATAAAAACTAAAACACGTGTTGTTTTTATACTAACTGACCTTAACTGCATTTTACGATTAGCTTATTATCTTTTGCACGTCAAGTCTCAGTATATTAGTACAAAATTAAGCAGCCAGTAACACTAAACAAAAATTTAGAAAGAAATGAGAAAAATTGCATTGCTTAAAATAGTACCACAAATCTGTCAATTTCGGCTAGACATGGTAGTTTACAGAACTTTTTTATTTTCAAAAAAACTAGCTAATGTGCGTTCATCAATGATTAAAGGGGCTGTTTTAAAAAAAGTTGAGAAGTGTTCTGAAGACTCGGTGTTAAAAATACTTATGTACCTCTTCTGTGCGTTTTACTACTACATTAACTATATAGATTAATTTAAATTTGAGTAACAATGTTTATTAGGACACGATTAAGAATACCATTTTACCAGTCCTCGTAACAATTTAGTTCAGTAAGGCGTCCATCGTTAGTTAGGACACGTGCCGGAATACCTGAAATTACCGTTCCCGAGCGCGCGTATAGGCGCCGCCGCCTACGAGAAATCGAGTTACCTTTGAGCATAGTGCGGGCGATGCACGCGCTGCCGCTCACATGAACATACTGGACACGTAGCCCACCACCACCAGACTCAGTATGAGCAGGCACACTAGGATCATGATCTTCTTCTGTTGACCCCGCGGGCGACCATGCAACAGTACGCTTTAGACACGCGCCAAGCGCCAGTACGCCCAAATACGATATCCAAATGACAAATTTTAATTTCCCCCCTCTCCTACCCCCCCATACACATTTCTTTTTATCCTTCGTGTTTCGTATCGGTTTAGGACCCGGTGCGTGCGTCATTTGCCTTACCTCGCTGTTAGCATATTACTTTAAGGTTTCGTCAAATAAGATAAACCAAAAGAAAACAAAACAAATTCAATCGAAATAAAATAAATAAGTGTAATCTTGGAAATTATAAACATATTTACATCTTGAGTAAAGTTTACTGATACATCATTATTTTAATAACAACTTTGTAACACCTCTTTTATTAGAACGGAAACTAATACTACTACACATGATTATTTTCTGCTATTGAGGAAAAACTCTTTTAACGTCTCAACAGAACTTAGGAATTAACAAACGATATTAATGAAATGGCATTAAATTATATTTTATATTTCACAGTCTTTTGATTAAATAAACAAGTAGTGATAAATAGCTTACGGGACACAATTTATTATAGCAAACATGTTCGCATATAAAACAATATTTGAGCTAAACAACATTCCCACGTAGACGCGTATTCAATTAAACAACACGACTTTGAATCACAGTTAGTAATATATTAGACATGTGATATATAAACAATAAGTATATTAATAATATTATTTCACATTTATCCATTAAAATGCTACAATAAATGCAAACATTGTGTTTAGCAGGATTAAATTTAGAATTGTGACTTTTAAGTGTCGCACCTTAATAATGGTCATAATATCGAAATATTATGTCTCTTAATAATAACAAATTCATCTATCACGTATTATATTGCATTATAGATTGCAATATGAAAATGAGAAATACATATATATTTTTTATGAAACTAGAATAGTGATGTTCAAACAATAATATTGTGACGAATCATCTCAGGTCAGGTCTTTCTGTTTCTAAAAGGTTGCGCACTACTCGAGATTCGACCTATCTGTAACCTAAGTAATCTGACATAAGGATGAAAATGCAATGACAGCTGCTAGCGAGCACCCAAGTGTGAGGATGAGTATGCAATTGACATTATCATATTTTGCTACTCATGGCAAATAATATAAAATATATATCACTGATGAGATAAGAACATTTGCAATTGGATCAGTTCAAAATTCAAGCTCAGAGATTGTTTCATTCGATACTGGAACATTAAAAAAGTTTATGGCCGTAAAATACTTTGCTCGTCCATACAGGGATAAATTGATATACAAAACAGAACGAATATAGTCCTTGGGCTGATGGACACCAACTTCCTAATCTGTTTATCTGGTATGGTCGGCAATCATCTTATCTAAACACCGTATCTGAATCAAGTTAAATTCAGTCAAATATCGTTGCCATAAATTGTTATCAGTTAGGTATTACTCACTTAGAGATGATTCAGTTCCTAATGATACATTCAAAGTTCTAAAACATTTGCATCACACTGAGCATTCATTATTGTAAAACTGTTTTGATTCCGTAAAGAGCGATGCAAGTCTATACTTACGCCGCACGTTAGCGGTTGTTATTGCATTCTCATATTAAGCTACACTGCTAACAATTAGTACGAATCCCGAATAGATGTACTTTAGAAGGATCTAACTCGATACTTTGTCAGAATATTTTGCCTTCAACTATGAAATAAAAAGATAGGTACAATCTGCTTACAGATTTTTAAACCATAAATCAAGAACTTATTGAAATCTTAAAGATCTTATTGCAGACTCGAAAGAGGTAAAGGAAAAAAACATAATTAGGATTTCTATACTCTACAATTTCAAGAAAACAGTAAATGTTTCTAAGGTAAAGCAGTTAATGAGAAAGCAACCTATTACAACAAAACTTAAATGTAGGCAAATACTGATTGATCGCTAATTCATACTATGGATTGATTAAAGAAATAATAACTGATTAGAAATTTACAAAGAGCAAAATAAAAATGCCTGTAATTTCTGACAATAAATGTTACCTTAATTTTTAAATTCCGCAAATCATCTTCAACGTAAGAATGAAAAATTAAAGAAATTAATATTCGTTGTTCTTTTATCAGTAAATAACAGATATATTTTTATTTTGCACAAACACAAAACTTTGTTTTGTTTTAAAAATATTATAAAATAGACAATAATTTCTAACGCGGCCTGAACAAAGAAAATAAACGGTCTAAATTGCTTAATAAACATAATGAGTGAAATTACTGAAGTAACAGACTCAGCGTGTTCACTTGAAACATGTGAATTTTTAATATTCACTAAATTATGCCTTACTTAATTAGTTAATTAATGATAAACGTATATACAGATTTTTATAAAATAAAAATTAATGTTTCAATAGTGCGTTACTTTAATAGAAGCCATATTTAGTACTTACATAAACTAAAGCACAATCAATTTATTGCACTTTAAATAATTTATATTGTCTTCAAACTATCTACCCGTGGCGATATACTTTCCTCTTACACAAAACATTTTATAATCTCACGAAAAGACTGTGTTACCACAATTATTTAATGAATCCAACAGAATGGTTCGCAATTGTTTTGTTATATAAATTTCGAATAATATGATGTTTTTTTTAATGACAAAACAGATCGCTATAACACAGCACCGTTGTAATGCCAAGAATATTGTCACAATGCATCGATCGTTTGCAAGGTTGCATGCAATGTGTAGGTATCGCTGTATTATATACGGCAAGCAACATCCATACAAAAAAAATATAATGTTAATGGTATACAGACGAATATCATGTGTGTCGTTTTGTAGCCAGCATCTACTGATTGAAACAACTTAGTCCACAGGGCGCCGAGCGGGGCGGCGGCGCTGATTACGAGAGCGCTACCGCGAGCACAATTATTAATATTACCAGCGTAACAGACAGGCATATTATGATGAAGATTTTTTTCTGCAATGACAAAGGAGAAAATAATAAAGAAAATAAAATTCGAATTCCGAAATGAGAACGCACTAGTAATAACGAATGCGGACGGTGCGCACACGAAAATGAAATGGTTTGTTAAAACTATGATCAAAATCTGCTTACATATTTCAAAGAAGAAAGATTTAAGAATAAGGTAGATTCATAATTGAATATGTACTATAAAAACAAGAAATTTTATAGTTATCTATCTGGAATCAATTTGGATCAGACTACTTCTCGCGTAACAGGTAGTTAATATAAAGATACAAGGCAACGCTAAGGTAAGCCTATAATAAATTACCCGAAAAGGAACATTTTCCGAGCGCACCGCCTAAATATTACTCAAAAATGGTATGTAACAAATATTTGAATTTGCGCTAATTAAAAATCACATCTATTTTGAAATTAACTTTAAAATGTGATCCATAACAAAATAACTCATGCTACTGGTTAATCTTATAAACATTATCTAGTTGCAGTTATGTTAACTTATCGTTAGTAACATGCAATGCAAAACCATCACCACATTCAATCACATAGAAAGCAAAAGCTTTATCAAAAATGGTTAGTTTATGAAAATGATTCGATACAATTTTGATGGATAGTAATCAACTCATTGCTAAAACTCGTTTTAAAAGTTTCATTAACATCTAAAAACGTGGAGCAAAAATATGAATAAACGGTTTTTTTTTCGTAAACTGGACTATTTTTGAAAATTTATTTTATAACACAATCATGAAGATGACGGGTGCCGTGCTCAGGCGCATCAGAAGCTCGTGCAAACATGAGAATTCATGCATTTTACGGTTTCGCTTAATATATTGAAGGCATGACAATCGCTATCTAACAATTGCATGAATTTCCGCGAGTACTAAATGTCTTAATTAGAGTAAAAACGCGAATCTGCATGCAAAAACCTTTATAAAACATTAAAAAGGAGAAAAAATATACAGAGAACAGAAAACCCTTCCGATGTTTCGAGAGATAGAGGTAGATTATACAGTATTAATAAATTATTTATAGTAGTTAATTCTCAGTCCCCTGTAGTACTTAAAAGGGTGAACGATGTCTTGTTAGCTTCGTTCCGGTAAGTAGAAGAGGTTGGTTTTATAGTCGATCGCTTGTTAGTAGACATGTGTAACACTGCTACTGAATATTGCGGCAATATACTTCACTGCGCCTTGTTTTAATATAAATATAGAAGTAGTTAATGTACTTAGGTCCACTTGTAGCAAATAGGGTATTTGACAAGTTTTAGAAAATAATCTGACGTCATTTACTATAAATAAATAATGTTTATGGAATCCATAAAAAATAGTTATTCATCATTCTGTTACGTGTGTCACAAAAGAAAATACGAAATCTAAAATTCCATTTTCAAGTTGCCGCGAAAACGTTTCTCTGGACATTATGGCGTGACGTCACATGACTGTCATTCAAACGTCAAATGGTACAATGTAATGTCTTTTGACGTCATTTTAGTCTTCGCCAATCCGAAGCGTTCTCGGTCAAGTGACCATAGAACAAAAAAATCCTTTTTTATTAATGCTTTTGTAGAAAACATATTAACTATTTTATATATCTATACTATTTGTTCTCTCAGAATACTAAAGTCGCTGTTACTATTCATATTAAATACAGATGCCAGTAATTGGTATTTTATTTTTCATAATGTCAAATAGCCTATTTGCTAAATCTTGATTTAACTAAACTAGATATATCCCATACAATAATTTCAAATTGACATTGGCGTTTTGTCATTTTTCTATGGGTAAAATCTAGTTTTATTTGAATTGAAATTTAGCAAATTTGCTGCAAGTGGGCCTTAGGCTGCGTTTCCACAGAAGCGGAGCTTGTGTGGAGCTGAACAGTCTTAAGCCCACTTGCACCAGAATCGCTAAATATCGATTTAACTAAAACTTGATTAACTGAGACAAGAACTTCAAACATACATTGTCGTGTTGACTTTTTTGTATGGCTTAAATCCAGTTTTAGTTAAATCGACATTTAGGGATTCTGGTGCAAGTGGGCTTTAAAGAAATTGACGTCCTTGCTCAACATACAATGTGGGTGTGTATTTTAAGCAATGTCGTTTAGTTTCTTGAAGACTAGTCAGCTCCGCTTCTTTGGAAACGTAGTCTTAGCGATACTCGAATGAAATTGACAAATCTCTAGAAAGAGAAAGTGATGGTGTAGCCAATTCCTCTACGAACTATAGACCGCAAGATCGCTTTGTCTCCCTCACACTATTTAAGCCCAGATTTACTTTACATTTGGACACGCCCAGTAAATGTCAGTAGACAATGGTTAAAGCCAAACATCCATACAGACATCCATCAGTAAAGTAAATACGGACACAATAGAGAATGAGATGAAAACGAATCGATCTTGAGTAAAAAGTCCCAAATTATATCTTTGTAGGCCGCGGCCGTGGCCAATTTCATACTGGTATTGCTCAGTCCACTCTAAAACCATTGTAATCACTCGTGTCCTTAAAGAAAGGAATCGCAAATGACGACGTAAGACATTCTGTCCCTCTCGCATCCTAAGTAACGTGCGAGAGAGACAGTATTTCTTGCAAAGGCATTTTCGATTCGTATCTTTAATGACACGAGTTACTTTATGTGTTAAGTTCCGGCAGTTCTGTCCAGTTGCCAGTTCAATACAGTCAAAATATACTGCCAATTTAGAGTTGGCGCAATGAGTCGACGCAGTGCATTGCGCGCAATTAGGGCTGATAACGGGGTAATCTATTTATTACGTCAGTTAGATTATCATAAAATAATGGACATTTATTTTTTCTTTTGTCAATCAACCTAAAAATTACTAAGATAAAGCGCGCCAAAGTGGGAGCTCGTGACGTCACTTCTAAGTAAAACAGTACCAAGTAGTGACGTCATGCGACGTTTCAAATCAATATACCTATCTATGTGAAAAAAGAATATATACGTGTCCAATACTTTTTGTTAACCTACCTGATGGACGATAAAAAAAATCAGTTAGTCATCATCCCTATTATTGCGACTATTCTTTCGAATGGAAATTCGCCGTGGTACCCATGTCTACTTGTTAGTGTATTGAGAACCCGTAAGCTCGTCTGTACGGTGTACGTGTTCGTTTTACCTTGCGCGCCTTTTGCGCCCATTTGTAAGCCAATGTCAGCTCGTGGTGGCCGGAGTCGACATAGTCTGTGGCCTCGGTTACGTGATGCTCGATGCGATCTATCAGTTCGCCCTGCTCGCCTAATGTGTACGGCGAAGGGGAGAGGTCACTACGGCCGATTGGTTCATACGCATTATGATTATAATCCCACGGGTTACTGGTTGTTTGTTACAGGAACCGAAAGTGTAGCTGATCGAGAATGTTAAACAGACAGTGAGAGGACAGTATCCACCAGGTAAGTTAAATAAAAAATATCAAATAAAAAAAATACACACAGTAAGTAGAGATAATGAAAAATAATATACATTGAAACATAATCATGACAAGACGACAGAGATAACTGTGTGTTACATTGATGATCACATTCAGTGTTAATAATAATAATCTAATTAGTAATCGTAATAGTGATTTTTTTGACAATTCAATAAAGTTACATACACGTTGAACGAAGAGTTGTTACACGATAACAATGTTTCTGAAGCGTTAGTTACAGTATGATATATGACAGATATTATAATAAACATAATGCAATAGGCAAATTACGCACACACCAAATGAGTTCAAGTTGTTAGATACATAAATTTAGATAATGTTAGGGGGGTAGGAAGCCCATTTCCAACGAGTGTTAGTCGGAGCGACATGAACAGTTAGTACACAACAGTTAAAGCGTATTCGTGATGCATAATGATAAAACGATTAGACCATAACAGCATGGTGTGTGAACCAATCACCGAATCATCAACATAAATATAATTCGGGGCGGGCGGATATTGATAACATTCAACGAAACATGACAAGGTCGGTAAGGAGAATTCGGATTGTACGGACACGATACGGGCAGGGGCGAACGAAACAAAAACAAAAATATTAGCAATGAATGACTCTGCACTGGTACAAGATAACTTACCCGTCGAGCTTTGCTCTGATATTTTAGGGCCTTCTTTGTATCTTGTGTGGCAGTTTGGACATAGTCAACGGCGTGTTCTACATGATACTCAATGCGGTCGATCATTTCGCCCTGTATTCATAGGAATTCAAGGTTTTATACACTATATTACCCTACATACTAAAAATAATGACAATCTTATAGAGTGCTTAAATAGTAGATTTAAAATAGTTTTCTTAAAGAAAATTGTTAATATATTCTTAAATTCCTGTTTATTCTAAATGTGCTTATTTACAAGTGAGCTAAGTTTGAATTCGTTTGGTGGAATTCCACAGAAGGACTGCGGTAGGTAGCCAACAACTTGATTTTTTACTAAGTTTCCTACAGAATTAGGTCATTATCATTGGTTTTTCCGCGCTGTCATTTTATTACTCTTAATAAATCAAAGAAGCTACTTATTCTATGCTGAACACAAGAAAGAAAACCATAAAATGCACCCGCTTATTGCTAAATTACACAAGGAAATTGTTTTATCGAAGGACAAGATATTTCCGAATGCTTTTGTAGACTATTGATGAACTGGCAATGTGCCACTTGTTTTTGGGCATCAAATCCATCTAGGCCAGTACCATATATTATTTATTTACTTATCAAACTTTATTGACCAAAGCATTAAAATGGTACAAAAGTAGGACTTAATGCAAAAAGCATTTTCTATCAGTCAACCTTTAGTAAAAACGAAAAACACGAATATCATATAACATTAATATAACAGGTAAAGGGTATCAAATAAAAATATCGTTCTCCTAATGAAATATCCTCTGTCAACCCCGCAAAGGTCTTTACCTTAAGGTTTTTAAACATGTAGGATATAAGCTCCGACACTTTTATAATGTTTTCCGAACCGATTTGAAAAAATCTTTTACCAATATTTAATATGAACTTGCGGGGTGGACATTGGCATAGGTCACATAGGCTATGTCGAGTTCGATGGCATAGCGTTCCAATCGTGGAAGCTATGCAACTTTTTCAATGACCGGTCAAAAGATGTGTATGACAAAAATATCAATGTAATCGAATTCCTTCGTACTTCGGAAGGCACGTTAAGCCGTTGGTTACGGCTACATCTGCAGTCGTTAGCGCCCATCAGTGTTGCCAGGTCAGTTAAAAATTGGGAGGCATTATAGAATTGGTTAAATCAAATCAAGATATAGGCCAGTAAGCAATTTAAAAAAGAAAATCGTATTCTAAGAAAAAATCATGTAGAAAAACAGTAGATCAGGAGAAATTAAAAAAAAAACAGGAGATCACCTGTAAAATCGGTAAACCTGGCAACACTGGCGCCCATTAACTGTACCCAAGTAGTGGGCAATGACCTATTCTTTGTAATCCATCCATAGGGAAGACCGTGCCCCAGGAGTGAGGACATTAATAACACAAAGTAGAAAGAGTAGAAAGTAGCCAGAAGAACGGGCCATTGATTTTGACAACACGTGTCGCTTTTAGTCGCGAATAAATTTAGATTGAAACTGTGCCTGAGAATGCCTACAAACCGCTTGTTTGACCGCAGCGGTCAGATACTTTATGTTAGCACACACCAATCAGCAATATACTCGCGTTGTGGTTTTCACACTTTTTCACGAAAATGCCGTGTATATTGCCACGCTAATCAGTTGATGATGAGCATAGGGCACCCAAATTATAATTTCCGAGAAGAAACGATTACGTTTCCAAATATTATCATAGACGATGGTACCGATATTACGGCGCCACACACAATCGCCAAGAGTCTCTTGTCGTTGAGCAGTTGAGTCATCATACAAAAGCCGGGCAATTAAATAATCACTGTGTTTATAGTGCGACCAGGATCATTATAAATGTGAGTGACAATTCAGGGAGGGTGCTGCTGTCTACGTAAAAAACCGTGAATGACATACAAATCATGAGGTTTACAAAGATACGTGGCGTTAGTTTAAATTTTCGTTACATTCATGAAGATCCTTGTCGTACTATGCTATTGTTGTCACTATCATCGGGAGAACTTTTGACTCAGGCGGAAACAAAAGACAAGGAAGCGAGACTAACGAGACGAGAACACCATGTATACACACTCGGTCTGTCGGCGAATGTGTGCAGTCGCTATTCAGTCAGTGCTCGGGGAGCGGAAGACTTTTTGAGAAAAACACCCGACAAATCAATTTGCGCAGTCATTTCTGTATGTAAAATTGCTAATGCACAGGCTTACTTGTCTATTCAGCTATGGCCGTTGCTCAAGAAATTTGCCGGAATGTATATGTCACCGTAAAATTGTGAATACCGTAAGATTATAAACTATCTCGCGAGATTGTAAGCTTTCGAAAGATTGAGAACCGTAACGTACTGCTTACAATTTAAAGCAATATTTTTCGGTAGATTACATCGTAGTGAAACTGTTAAATCAAAATCTGTAGCACGTTAAATTGTCAACTGTCCGAAGGCTGTCCCTGATTGGTCCGTCTTACAGTGACATAAATATATTGTGTGTATTGAAAGTGGCATATGACCTGGCTCTCGACGAGCATCGCCATGTCCATGAACATGTCGTGCAGCTCGCGGATAGAGGTCTCCAGTTTGATGATGTCGGCGTGCCGCGCCTCGATGTCGGCCAGCGTCTGCTTCGCTTGCTGCGTCTCCATTATTATCTGAAGTTTCGAAATGGTACCTATTAACGCTGAACTGTTAAGAAACAGTCATAGTAAGAGCACAATACATACAAGAGCAGTACCTTGACTTCATACTAGCGCCCGAATCGACGCACGCACACAGGCAACAACACGGGCGCTAACCAATCTTGGCAAGATAAATCTACGTACGCAGTGCCACGTCGCGCGCCGCTGAGACTGGTCGTTGGCCGTGTTAGGCATTGTCCTAATACAACGCGATAACGCGAATGAGCGATGCGATCATCGTACGATTCGACGATCAGGCATTGTCCTAATACAACGCGAATGAGCGATGCGATCATCGTACGAGTCGACGATCAAACATATTGATCTAGAATAGGTGTCCTAATAGGCGATCGAGCGATGCATTCGCGCGACTAAAATGTTTAAAAATCTATTCGCGGGAACATAGTTCGCGCGAACGCGCAATCAAACCTATTAATGATGAATAGGTGTCCTAACTGAAGTTCGCGCGATGATCGCGTCGCGTCGATAGGAAGCGGGGAGAAGGGCAGGGCTAACCCGACCAAACTGTGTGTCAATCGTGATCGCGTATTCGCGTTCTATTAGGACACCCAGTTCGCGATCACGCGATGGTCGCATCGTTTAAACGCGCGATGATCGCGTTATCGCGTTGTATTAGGACAATGCCTCAAACATATTGATCTAGAATAGGTGTCCTAATAGGCGATCGCGCGATGCATTCGCGCGACTAAAATGTTTAAAAATCTATTCGCGCGAACTTAGTTCACGCGAACGCGCAATCAAACCTATTAATGATGAATAGGTGTCCTAACTGAAGTTCGCGCGATGATCGCGTCGCGTCGATAGGAAGCGGGGAGAGGGGCAGGGCTAACCCGTTCCGTATTCGCGTTCTATTAGGACACCCAGTTCGCGATCACGCGATGGTCGCATCGTTTAATCGCGCGATGATCGCGTTATCGCGTTGTATTAGGACAATGCCTTAAGTTAGCTGCGCCGCGTCGTCTACCTCCGTAACGTAATCATTAAATTAACATATGTTTTATTCCTAAAACTATACACATACAATAAAAATCTGTTTTACATTTTGTAGATACCAACCCTAGCACTCCGCTCAGTCATAGGAATCTATTTCAAGAAAACGGATGTGTTACGCTACTGCACTTGTATGTATTGTGGTAACATTTAGTTTAAAATTAAATAGTTAAATTATTTGATAATCTTAACATTAACAGACACCGAGAATTTTATTTGCTTATATAAAATGAACGAACGAATTGCCTGTGCCATATGCATACGGTAGTTCGTTCAGACTACCATCGTGGAAATTAAGCAATTTTCGCAGCTGTCGGTCATTAGATGGGTGACCAAAAACTTATCATCACGACCTCCACTGTGTATCAGAAAGCACGTTAAGCAGTTGGTCCCGGCTGCATCTGCAGCCGTTAGCTCACCAATTAGCACTGGGCCCGCGTGGTGGGTCACGGCCCAGTCTTCCTTTTCAATCCATAGGGAATGCCCCAGCAGTGGGGACATGAATAGGCTCATGATGATGAAGACCTATTTACTCTGTATTTAAAGAGACAAACTCAGCACTGCGCACTATTCCTGATGATGATATACAATTATGTCAAGGTAATAATAGTTAAATTGTCTGATGGATAATCTTAGCATTAACGATCACAGATCATTTTATTCGGTTAATAATACTGTTTGTAAATAAAATACCTATCAAGATAAAGAAATTGCAATAAATAGTAGTGCTAATCGCCCTCAGTCTGGAAGGACCGGCCATCGACTTTAGATTTGGAATTGGAAGGAATATCAAACTGTCGATAGGGCTGAAAATACTACTACTGTTAGCAACTAAAAATAAAGACATGTCTTGACTCTTGAGTGATGTTTGATAGTACTGTTGTACTTCTTTATTTGATTCTGTGGATAAGGAAGTCACACGACAATAGGCAAACATTGATCATGCAAACTAGACAATTTTTTCAACGTATAAAATACATATATATACTTAAAATATCTACTGTACATCCGATTTAAAATTATGTATACCTTAAGATTTCTGCTTCAAATTTTACTTTCGTTTTTACTCAAAAAATTTGTACCCTTGTTTACCATTATTTTAATGGTTGTGGTGTGGTGACTTTAAACATCAGACATTTAACCATGCATAATCAATTACCTTATTTTGTATGAATTAATGTGCGAGTTATTATTATTGTCAAGCTATGGGGTCTGGGTTTTCTGCGTTATTTCATTGCACATGTAAAGCAGGTAGTAACGCAAGCTACGGAGGTTCTAATAGTAACTACGGGTGTGATGAAAGAGAAATTAAGCCACTTGCAGGTCAGCATGGTGAGGATGGCATGTGTGGTCAACGATAATTATATCGTTGGGTGTGGCGGGTATAACTGTTACACCAGCTATCTTAGCGTCTGAACTCCACTGTCAATTAACATCAGGTGATTGAGTAACAAACAAACAACCTTTAACATATAAATTACATTAGGAAGTATGGATCATCTCGAACGTACCCCCTGGGTGAAGACGGCCGAGTTGCCCTGCTCCAGCATCTCCTCGAGCTCGTCGTCGGTGGTAGCGCGTCCCGTGATCTCCAGCTGCCGCTGTATCCGGTTCTTGCAGCGGTCCCGGTAGTCCGTCTGCGTCCTGACCAATGTCCAATGTCGTAAACTTAGCTGACTCCACCAAAATCACTATCATATCATCTAATCTATTCTTTGACTACATCAGAGATTCGAGCACGAATTTTGACAGCTCCGTAATCGTATCGCATCGTCAAAGTTTTCTCAGACGTGTGAGCTCCGAGGTAGCAAGTGGCCCTGTTTATTTGCTCTCCAGAGTATTTACAGTACCAGCATTAGCAATATATATCCAAAAATCATTTTTTGGAATAAATTAGGATTATGATAATCTTTTGACCACGAAAATTGTGAAGTAATTTGAGGAAATGACTTTCGAAATCCAGGTCTTTCTCACCATAAAACATAATAATACACACTTCAGTTCTTTCCCAAATAAAAAGATAGCTTTAAAACTTGTTATAAACATATGGTGGGTAGATAGTGTACCTGTTATATTCTGTCATCACTTCCACAAACTTGCGGGACAGAGTCGAGTGCTGAGTTTTTCTTATCCTGAGATCGGCGGATGATTTGTTCGAGTGCTCCTCCTGTTCAATGTTCTGCTCTATGTCTGTTGAAGTAAGGAAGAAATTTTATTTAAATATACTACGAAAATACCTTACTTTGTCTTTGATCCGATGGATATGAGCCTTTGCTTCGTAATGGAAATTAATGAAAAGGTTTTTAACCCAAAAATCCTTTTTCAGAAAATGGAATATCTTTTGTCTACATTGAATCGGGTACCGAATTACAGTAAGTGGTACCTAATGAAAGGACAGTTATAAAGATGGGTATGAGATTTTAAGGTCGACTCAATAACGGCATTCTCTCTCTACTCATTTCAGATTAGAGACGCTAAAAGCAGATATAATTTAATCGATAATCCACTTACGTTTTAATTTTCCTCTGACTTTGTTGGCAGTTTTCTTAACGTCGGCCATGAGATCTTCTAATTCGTGCTTTGTTTCTGAAAAGATATTTTTTTAATATAAATGCGCTATGCTATGATTCAACGAATTTAAGTATTAAACAATTTCAAATAATCACAATTAGAATTTTCATTACACGAGGGCCAGCGGGGCAGGTTTATTTCGAAATTTCGATGTTTTTAATTTTATTCACTCAACTACAACGATATAGGCAAGGAGCTTTATTCTTCTCTGACTGAACGCTTTACCTACCTACCAAGGTAGGTATTATTATAGTCGATAACCGATGTCACAAGCACATCCAACCGTGTAAAAACGCCTGAATTATTCCGACATTTTTATCGTTATTTGGAAATAGCCAAATATGCATACTTTGTAAACTATTATAACAGTCGTTTGTAGATAAATAAGTATGTCACACATAATAGCGTCACATTATTTGATTCATGTTTCAACCACAAACTTACATTTTTCATATTCAATATGAGTAAAAACAATGGTGGTAAATGTATAAATACCACACGACCAGCCATAATTACATAGAACTAAACCGCTATAACAGTAACCCCCATATTAGCTGAAAATTATGCATGAAAACGTGAATAAAACTTTGCCGTTAAAATTGACCGGTTCCTTCGTCCTTGTCACACCACATTTAATACTCATTTTACAGTAAAACATGAATCCATACTTAATACTAATATTATAAATATAATTATGAACGACGACCTCCGTGGCCGGGTGGTTTGTACGCCGGGTTTTATGGTGTCGCTGACTCGAGACGACCCGGATGAGGGTAGATGTTTGTGTGATGAATACGAGCATTTATACTCCAGTCAACATTGTTTGATATGTATTTCTATATAAATATATTTATATATGTACAGTATTACCCTAGTATCCCATAACACAAGCCTTACAGTGATTACTTAGGGGCTAGGCTAATCGGTAAGCGTGTTGGAAATATTAATTATATTAATAATTTAAAGAAAAGTTTACTAGAAAAAACAAAAAACATTTAATAATTTAAATGCGAAAGTGTGACTGTCTGTCTGACTTTTATCTACACACGCCTAAGCCGCTGTACCGATTTAGATGAAATTTGGTATAGAGATCCTGGAAAAAGGCATAGGATAGTTTTTATCCTAGAAATCACTCTTTAATGGGGTGAACGTTTGTACGTATAAATGTATTTTACCACGTAGGCGAATTGGCGGGCACCCACTAGTATTCTTTAATTTTGTGAATGTCTCTTTGTGTGTGTATGGTAAAAACTACTAATTTCATTAGACAAATTTATGTTTTACTAATAGATACATGCCTATTGAAGGTTTTGCAATTGAGGGTTAAGTACAAACTTCCACTTTTATAGAAAATAGTATTGAACCAATAGTGAATGTGTAGGGTACAGACAGAAAGATTAGCACCACACACGTAATAATCCCCAAAGGAAGTTGTTAACGCCGAGAATCTAATTACATACATACCTTGCTAACAATGTACCGTGTAAAAGGATGAGTTATATTGGCAGAGTTCTTGGAACATTTGCAATCAGTAATCTGTACGGCAAACAGTGGAGGCGAGTGCAAGTGTAGCGATAACAAACTTAGGCCATTACCAGCCGACCTGAGCTCAAGCGACAAGCTCTGTAGTAAAAGTTCTCGCCTACAACTAATTCTCTGCCACAGTAACAGTCGAGGTGACAGTTAACAAGCTGACACAAGTAAAAGCAGTGAATGGCATTTCACAGAAATATACACTAAAAACGTATTAAAAAAGGGCACTTTATATTGACTGAAATTAATTTATTTATGCTTAACAATTGAGGACTTTTTTTAAATGAGGCATCGAGAAATGGATGTGATAGTAATAGCAATATCTACATAAATTTATGTGTCTCTTGCTACTGCACCTCTGTTAATCTGACAACTTCTTCTTCTTAGTCGGGCACTCTTGTCAGAGTGGTCGTGGTTGCACTGACGCTCACAACGCAAGATACTTATTATATGTAGAAAAGATGAGGTGAAGACAACTCATCTAACAAGATTATATTCTTCCAAGAGCATATATCTGTTACAGCTTAATACAATAGGATTAAATCATCGTAAAAGCGTTTAAGCTAGAAGCTATGCAATTTTTATATTTTATAAAAAAGGTTTCCACGTTGTTCGATCCACAATCCATCAGTTTGCGTCCGTCCGACCCAATTCAAATTTGCATAAACTATTTGGGAGTGTGCATACGCAAACGGGTAAATAAATTGACAATAGTGCTGAATATTCCACAGTTTTGCATTACCACAATGCCAACGATGTGATGTGATCTTTTCTTTACACACACACACATTTGTTTCACATTTTTTTTTACGACATTTATTTAAGGTGTAAGCATGACGACGGACGTGCCATTTAAAATAAATGCATGCATATCGCCCCACAGATATTGATCCCAGATTAAAATAGAACATGAGTATGTACATACAACCCGATATGTCAAGTATTTACAGTTCAAAACTTGTTGAGCCTTTTAAAGCCAACTAAGGTCGCATGAGCAGCGCGCCCTGGGAAGTATCTTTGTTGTTTCGTCGCAATAGTTATTATACTTTAGAGAAAGCCGTCTAGAGACATGTTATTACTGCGAGCCTGAAATTCTGTCTCGTAGTACTTAACAGCGTCTTTATGCTTCGGTAATTGCTAAATCTAATTTCAGACTTTATTTCATAACCATAAGCTAATATTTATTACCTATTATATTTCTATTAATTTGAATGTTAGGCTCAGCTATAATTAGATAGAACTTTGATTTCCATTGCTATTACTTTAAAATAATATTTCTAAGTTCTTTGTGATTTCAACAAGCTGGTATCGCTTATTTCTATTTGAGCGCACACAGTTACAATGAGTTCTTCAATCTGTGCAATATGTAGCGATTTCCGGGTTGAAAAGTTAGTGAAAGTAATATTTTACAAAATCTTAGAATTATGTAAACTGTTACCTCTTATTGGAAAAATAAATACATTATCTTAAATTATGTGAGAAATCAAAAAACAAGAATGTAAAAATGTGAAGGAATGACAATTACCGTCTAATTATCATTTCTTCACATTGTTTGAAGAACATTGAACCAAAAATATATTATAATGCTTTGGAGAATCAAGTAAATTCTAATTTACTTTTGCTATAACATAATTATTATCACTTTTATCTGTTCATTCGAATTGAAAATTTTAATTTTATTAAGAGGACTAATAAAAGGCACATTACCTTAACAAAGAACTATATTTAGTTATCACAAATACTCATTACATTTTAAATGTTATTTTCCTTATCAGAGAACGCGTGTGACGCGACGCGAGGAAGGAAAAAATGGTGTTATAAATAATGGAACACAATGAGAAGCTGTTTTCTGTTTCGTATAAATCATCTGTTGGCCCAATTCTGACTGTAATTGCCTAAATGTAATTAAAATTAACGAGAAGAGGACAAACAGCCAAGTTAAAGAATGAAATTTTAGCAATTTTCGTATAATAAAGCTAATGGATGTCATTTGTATGCAATGAGAACACTGTTTGCGCCATGGGCACTGTCAATAAGACAGGCTATTCTTCAAACCAATTCCGCACGATCAACACTGCAATCGCAATTTTCGAACTGTTTTTGCAGTAGCAGTTTTTTTAAGCCTATAGGTATTTAACTTGTTGACATGCAGCGCGTGGACGCAATGGTTAACAAAATAGCATAAATTCCAAAAACAGAGTTTTTTTAGCCTGTATTCAATTTGTTGACATTTAGCGCGCGGATGCAGAGTATAACAATATCGCAGAAATTAATGCTGGACCTGATTTATTACAAAATACACACGAACCCATTTGAAATAGAATTTTAATTTTTAATTCAATTCTAAACATTAAATAGGTAAGTATTACGAAAGTTTCTTTTCTGTGTAAGAGTCTAATATGAAAAATTTGATTGTGTATTTTTTGAGGATTTCATGGAAACGTTAAAACTTTATATTGAGTCAACGGTGACATAAGATGGAATACGTTCAAGTCAGTGGTATTAAACTGACAAAAACATGACCGATAAGAAACAAGATATGGTATCAATAGTTAATCTTGGTAAACGTTATATAACATGGTACATTTTATTTTGTATTTTTATTACAATACGTATTTGACGCACTTATAACAGTTGCGTTTCTAGCCTTACAATAATTGAATAGACGAGTTCAATTCTTCTAAGTGATTTTCGACAACATTAATGGAACATGTAAGAGTGAACGACTAATCTGCCCTTTGCAATTAAATAATGTAGCTCATAAGCTCATGAATCTTTCGAGGCTAAACACAAAGTACCTAAATTGCAACAAAGGCATCGAAGAAAAGCATTGCATTAAAAGTAATACAGTAAAAGCTGAAAGAAGCAACTAATTGTATCGGCCGCCGTCGAATCTAATTTATCACGCGAACTGACAGTTAACAAGCAAGAAATACAACTAAATAAATGATTTATTCATAGTCGAGATGTAGAAGTCTTTTCTGTGTTCGGCAGGTTTATTCTTATCAAACAGCAACGTCGATAAAACGAGGACTAAGTTTTAAGAGAGTCAAAAAAAATAAAAATATATAATTGGTAAAATATAGAAAATATCTATTTCATAGCGATATATAATTCATCTGTCAGTTTAGCAAATAAGACTGACTCTCGGGAAATCATATGTGTTAACTTTATGAGAACAAGATGCGCAAATATTATATAATTTGATAGTTCAAGATGAGACTTTATTACCTGTAGTTGGCGCAATAACCTTTGAATAACAGCTTTAGTTTATGGTATGGATAGTGCGACTTGTTGTGCCTCTTCGAGTACCCTAGTGGGACGTCGACATCCGGATGCTGTGCATAATATTTTTACTCAAATTTAAGAAGCCTTGTACACCTAGCTACACATATTACTCTACTATAGCATATAAGGTATAGTAAGTAAAAATACAAGGCAAGTAATGCATGCCGTAATAATTAACCACCAAATTTCCCTTCCCCGTGGATATTTGCGCTGCCAAGAGTAACACCAATAATGGCGCAACCATTTATAAGTGGCGTGCTCGACACCGGCCGTCGTGCACCGCCCACAGCTTTAATCAGTATACGGTACGTTGAAAATTGTGAACTTTAATTGCCTTAGGTATATTGAGCATAAATCACGAACGCACAAAAAAGGAGTCAAAATCTAATTTCACGATTCCCCCATTCATAGTAAAGCCGATTCTTCCTATTTCTCCGAAAGGCAAGTTTAAATGGATTTTCATTGATTCCTAAAGCGAACCTTTGAATTATTGTCAAATCTTTCGAAGGCAATACTTGATGAAAGCAAATACTGCAAAGCCAAGAAAGACAAGTATTTAGGTAGTAATAGAGATATTTGTGATTTCCTTAATTTGAAATTCGTTGAACTGGTGTTTTATGAACTAATCAGGAATCAGAAGATGGCTTCCCCAAACGTTGCTAAAACAACAACAAACAACTAATGCTGCTGCTTTCCGCGTTTGTCTGTTTAATCTTTATAATATTTTAAACAAAGTCTAGTTAAAAAGATTAGGTAAAATTTAACTGCTGGGGTAAATTTTTGATTATAAAAAGGTTCAAGGTAATTTTTAGAGTAAAACATATGCTAGGCAATACAACCTATTTTGATTCGCTAAATTCAAAATTGAATGTGTGGTACCTTGATGACGGAACTATGGCTGGCGATATTAAAAACCGATTTTCACTTCATTATCTATCAATAAATTCAAAAGTATTTGCCTTGATTTATTTTTTTATAAATGCGAGCCATTAAGCTTAAGTTCTAGCTGAACAGTTACAACATATTGCCACGTTAGGTTAAATGTAATAAAACATTTTCCGAATGAATACCGAATTATACGACCTCCGTGGCCGAGAGGTTTGTACGGCGGGTTTCATGGCTGTCGCCGACTCGAGAGGTCCCGGGTTCGAATCCCGGTGGGGGCAGATGTTTGTGTGATGAATACGAGCATTTGTACTCCAGTCATGGATGTTTAATATGTAATTATATAAATATACTTATATATGTACAGTATATGTATTCTATCCGTTACCCTAGCATCCCATAACACAAGGCTTATAGTGCTTACTTTGGGGCTAGGCTAATTGGTGTGAGTGTCGGAAATATTTATTATTATTATTTTATACAGATTGCCAGTAATACATACATAGTTTCTATTAGCTCGAACGGAGCGATTTATTTCACTGCAGGGCTACTCACCTCATTACAGAATATCAAGGGTACAAATTGGGCCTGTTTCATTATAACAGACGCATAAAATGTTATCGTGAACTTGTTCGATATAACGACGGCAGCGATGGCTTATTCGAAGCTATTTAGGTCGGGTCAATGGCTAATCGTGACTATTCGTGACGCTCCTGCCAAGGGTTCGCGTTGAGAGTGTTAGTTATATACTTTATAATGTTAAAGTATAATTTATATGATGTTAGTTAACAGAAATAAAAGGCCAATTCTCTGTTTTAGTGTAATGGATAGCTGTTGTCTCCTAATTTGAATAATTTACAGTTTCCGTTGTATTTAAGGGTCGAATAACGATAACATCATACATTATCAGTTTTTATTTTACATTATATTCTTGACTCGGGTAACTAATTAAAATTATTAAACCTCTTAAATCAATTGACTTATTAAATCTCCTAAGAGAAAATAATCTGATACTAGAACTTTTAAGAGAGAACTTTTAGGGAAAGGCTGATTTCCTTCTTGAATTAGTGCAACCGTCTGGGGTAGTAACCTCCACTGTAAAATTAAGCAGGAATTACAATAATGAAAATATGCACACAAGCATATTTCCCGGCGCTTTTCTTCCTCTTAAATGTACGCACGTGAGTGCTTTTCTTATAGAGGCACCATTTTGTACCTTGGTCGTTGAATGTAAAGTATAAAAGCGTTTTAAATAGCGGGATACGAAAAGTACAAAAAGCACTAGTGCCAACGATCCCGAAGACTGCAGCAAAAAACTTTTCCAAGATATCGTGTCACTATATTATAAATAGTATACCTATTAACCACTGTAAACATTTGTTCATGTGTGTGCGAGTAACAAACAAGAATTCACGAGATACAAGGTAAGTAAATAGCGGAGGGATTCCATTATGGTAGCAAAATTAATAAGACAACAAAGAAGTTCATGGAAAACGAATGGCAGTCATTATTTCTGTATAATCTCTCATCAAAATCCACCCCTACACTGATTTATCTCATTAGGTTCACGCCACGTAGAAGCGTACGAAGTTATGGTGGAAGCATATTTCAGTTTTCATCACGAACACCAAGATTATCTTAACATCGTAACAAAATATGATATTTATACTTCTTCATTATTATATCAGTTTAGCAAAAATGAAGACCGCGAATATTCTAATGATTATATAATCATTTACGCAACGTCTTGTAGGTGGTGACAGGCAAAACACCAAATCAAAGATACCGTACGTCAATATTACTCCCTTAACCTAAAAGCTGCTTACAAAATACATTTGACATTGATTGGGTCCAAGGCGTTGTCTTGAACCAATAGTGACAGGTTGCTCTATCTTTAGTCTAGAATAGTTCATGAAACTGTACGTTGGTGAACTTTTACTTCATGCAGGGTAAGTTAGCAGATAGCGCTTTATTTTATTTTATGTTTTTCTCTTGCTCCAAACTCAGCATTATAAAATTATCATCAATTGCTTTACTTCCACGATCTCAGACAGCTAGCACTAAGCACTGCATCACTTAGCTCCGAGATAAAATAAGCTGAGGAGCATAACTAGCATTCTTACTTACTTCAACTATAAAATTAAATAAAATAGTTATATCGACCATTAAAAAAATAAACTCGTAGATTATATGAAAGATTTAAGTATTGGTTAAGCAGGCCGTGTTATAAGAACTAGATTTCTATTTTCATAACAAACATCTCAGGTCACCTTAGCGTAAAACCGATAAGAATCTCAACAGCAGCGTGTTTATATTCCTGACGACGTTTGTGCAAATGAACGTTAAGGGTGGGAGGGCTATGATCTAACAAAACGCCGAGTATTCCCATGAACACAGACTTTGCGACGCCCCCTCGTCTGTGTAAATGCCATCAACTTCGCCCTTCAATTAATGTGTGGGCATTCTTCCACCAACTCTCTGCCAACCTACGCTTCGCGACACAGCATCATTGTACATAATACTTCTACGAAGAGCAAACAGTCGATATATTTAGATACAAGTTCTTAAATAACACGGGGGTGAAGGAAAAGCTCATCTTTATTAATTAAACAAATATTATAACAAGACATTTAAATTGTCACCTAATTACGCCGGAATGCCAAATAGAATTGGCATTTGATTAAAGTAAAAAAAAAACGGACCGTTTAAGTTATTATTATATTTATTTTATAGATTCCGTAATTTGGGAATGAAATAAGGCAAAGTGTTTTATTGAAATGTTTTTAGATTTTCCATGATAGGGCACATTTCAATATAATATGTGGCTTCAATAGGATATTTTGTAAAAAATGAGTGATTGCGTCACATAAGTGTTCTGTTTTTTTTCAGATTTTACCTTTTTTTCGGATGCTTCTGAAAATGGTAAAATATTTAAAAATGACCATGGCCTATGCTGCCTACGTCCACCTCCAACTTCAAAATTCCGTTGGTTGTTCAATCGTATATTCCGTATTATATAATTTTGAATTGAATACAATTCAATCAAAAAATTATTATTTATTAAACTCGTGAATGAATGCTTAACTTACTTTCATCTGACTGCGGTGCTGATAGGATGGCGCTGTGCTTCTTCTTTACTTCCTCGACGTTAGCTTGGATCTTGTCTATCATTTCTCGTATCTCTTCCACCTGCAAAAATATACACAAACCTTATAAGTAATGACGGCACAGGTAAACACAGATGTATTATGTTGGACTGATGTTTCGAAATCCAATAACTGATTCGTCACCTAAATTAGAAAATCTGTTGAAATGATAATTTTCCAACTATGTCGAGGCTATGCGAGTGTTTTATTACTCCAAGGAAATTACTGAACTCATAATAATCGAGAACAATCAAAGACGATTCAAGACAAATGTTTAGAAGTTTGGGCTTCGCAAGTTTCCTTTTGTTATGACCTAAGCTGAATGATTTCCAGAATATCGTCGGTTCGGTGTAGAAATCAAGACAATTATGTTAACGAATGTGGCGTCGGTCGGCCTCGATATGCTAATAAACGCAGGGTTTCAATTTCTCAGTTAACCATAATTTACCCAATTAAAAATATTTCCTCCATAAAATAATTCGATGGAGTTACACCCAAACAGCGTAGGTAGTTTATAGAACAAATAAGGGTTGGGTTAAACGCCACATACAAGAAATGAAAGTTTCTGGATAGTCATTACTGCTACCGGGGGCAAACAACTATGCTATACATACAATAGAGGTTTCAGGCTGTAAGTTAATTACATTTATAAGAGTTTTTTTTCTTTACGACGTTATGCAGTTTAGCGTTTACTTATCTCTAGATCGGGTTTAGAGGGCGGTTCTTAGACCAGGCTGGGCGGATGAGTCGTTGGCTGTCGTTCTGGCAGCAAGCCAAAACCTCTAACCTTTGCCTCGTTTATCAACATGCAACTTTAGAAACAAATGTGAGGACTCCTGAATAACTTAAAGGAAACAGAGATATCCTTTTTTCACGGCTGATGGATCCTCATTTGAGCAATAGTCCATTGTTTGTCGCGAGCGATTTACGCGACTAAAGCGGCAAAATTGAAAAAGAGAGGCAACAATAACTATCTTTACGGTTTAGCGGAGCAGATGTTCCAAGAGAATGCACACATTTTTATTATTATTATCGAGAATAATAATTCCACATCTGTGAACATTTCTTAGCTGCAACAAATAACAGAAAGTTTTGTAAGGAAGTATCACGTTGCAGCAATATAAAACAAATGGTAACAAAGATTGCACTAGGCTAACACGGGGTGCGCTGAGACACATATAGGATGGAGGCAATTTATATAATTTTGAACAGACCGGGTAATCCGAACAACCCTCGTAAATACTTTGCGTCCGAAGGGTACAGATAGTACCTACATGTTGTAAAATGTAATATTCCCTTTGATGTCCGTCTAGAGACCATAGTCCAGGGTTTATTTAATGCAGAAGAGTAAAAGACTTGTTCTTAATGTTATTTTTATGATTTCTAATTCTAATAACAGTCGTAATAATGATCACAATACATAGAAAAATAATTAATCCTGTGTAAATCAAATATGAATTGACGGTGACACCTCCGACGAACTTTTAATTGACCAAACATTAAATAAAACTAGTTTTAACGGGGTAATGCACGAAATTTTATTTATTTATTGACGTTTCGCAGCCTTTTTAGGTCTGCTTCGTCAGAATAATAACCTAAGAAAATATGACCAAACATTGTCATACAAGCAGCAATACTACATAGTAAAGCCGAAAGTTGCTGTCACTTTTGGCTACTGATTGTTTTTGTGATTTCTTGTTTATATATATCTACGAGTGTAAGTATATTAAATCACAAGCTTTTTTTAATTTCGAAATTCACAATGCCAATACCAACCCCGCAAATAATATATGATATGCAGGTCTCTGTGTGTGTTAAAACTCATTGCTGCAATACCGCATAGCATAAGCATTTAATTTTTCGTAAGAAACAACTGAACAAGCACAGCCATTCAGAATCGATGCAATAACAGAATTAGTACATTACTGCAGCGGCCAGCGAAAGAGGCATTGATGGACGAATGTATACATAATAGGATGGAGAAAGTCTTTTAGCATTATAGTTTGTACGAACTTGTGATAAAATCTCTTTGGCTATACCTTTTGTACCGGGCTAGTTTTGGTATCATTTAAAAGTTTAAATTTTAAAGAAAATAATTCCAAATTCAAATAAGAAAATTGTGTGATTTATAATTTGCTTTTCTTACTGTCAAGAGGAGTGAATCTTAAGAAGAAATTCGATACATTTTAAAGTTTTACTACAAAAAAAGATAAATGTGAAACGTAAGTCGCGAAAAAAAGGACAATGGGCAAAATTGCATGGACACTGCACCCACGTCCGCCACGGCTTAAACTACATTTGTTTGAAAGGTATCATAGTCATGATCATTTGTGCCAAAGCGCATCAAATTCCATCCCGGGAGTCTTTAGTTATTTTAAGTTAAATAGGTACAATTCCATAGGTAAAAGTAACTATAACGAACATAATATTTAAAGATACAAGGACGAGTATATAGAACGGATATATTAATTGACGACCACGGAGGTCGAGGTATATTAATATATCCAAGTCGAGTGGTTTGTACGCCGGGTTTCATGGTGTCGCTGGCTCGAGAGGTCCCGGGTTCGAATCCTGGTGGGGGCAGATGTTTGTGTGCTGAGTACGAGCATTTGTACTCCTGTCATAGATGTTTAATATGTATTTCTATATCAATATACTTATAAATGTACTACATAATGTATTCTATCCGTTACCCTAGCATTCCATAACACAAGCCTCACAGTGCTTACTCCGGGGCTAGGCTAATTGGTAAGTGTAAAAAAAGGGGATTATTTATGAAACATTATTTCATTTCAAATATTTTTAATTATCTTCATCCATAATCACAGAGTCTAAAAAGAGAGCCGGTCTGTGAATATCGTCTTCATGTCTTGCTAGACCTAAAAACCATATGACCACCATAACATGAGCACAGCATCCTAAAGTGCGGTTTCCCGTTTTGCATGAGCAGTAATAACTCGAGATAGATGTTTTTGGTCACCCATCCAATGACCGACCACTGCGAAAGTTGCTTAACTTCAACGATCGCAACCGAACGCGCTAACCACCTGCGCCATCGAGCTTCTCTATAAGGAGCTATTTAAACATGCCCGTGTGTAACCGGTCCCCATGACTTACACACAAAGGTCGTCTATAAGGACTATGTGCGGAAACCTTAACCCCTAATATAGAACATACCCAGGCGTATATCTTTTGACCTCCAGGTTATTTTTTTTTGGTGCCATAATAAAAAAGGCTAGTTTTTCATAGATCTATCGATTCATACTAATTACATTGTTGGCGGAGCTGGGTGCGTTTTGCCCATTGTCCTTTGTGATGTTTATGGATAGTGCAGTGTTTGTGAGAGTAGCACACATTTGGTTTAAGCGTTTTTAATGCGGAAATTTTGATGTCAAAGTTGCACGTCACCCTGTTACGGATAAAATGTATTTCATTTTTGAAAAAGTCGGCATCAGCAGTTACGACTAGGGTTGCAACGATATATCGGAATATTGATAATATCGAGACCAAAATATCGATATTTAGTAGACTAAATTTGAACACAATAATATCAATTAATTTACCTGCTATGACTATCTTAATTGAATAATATCGAAATTTTTTTAGCTCGCCAAATCAAAAAAGTAAGATAGGTATAGTAATTTTGGAAGCTTTGGGCTTACTCTATTCTGAAGCCATGGGCACGCCGCTGATGTGTGGGAGACTAAGGAATTTGCGTATTTGATGTGCGCTAAAAACCGACATAGCTTGGAAAAGCACGAATGTAGTGAAAACTTAGCGAAGGCATTCGCAAATGTCGTCCCACATATGCGGGTTGGCGCATTCGTGCTAAGGAATGTGAGTGATCTAATCAGGATAATAATTTTATTTTTTTGGTTTCCTGTCGTGGCTGAAACACAAACCGCGCGAGCCAATAAAAAAATCCTACTTGGCGCGATTTCATCAAGCGTGTTTAACGAAAAAGCTGGCTCAATGCATTTTGCGAGAAACTCTCCAACAAACATATGAATGTGTCACACTCACCCCGTATTCTAATGTCAATAAAAAATAAAAAGGAAAAAATATCGATATATTGATAATATCGAGTTAAAATGGTCGATATATCGGATATCGATATTTTCCTGACTTCGATATAAATATCGATATTTCAAAATACTTTGCATCCCTAGTTACAACGTAGCTGAAGAACTGGGAATTGACCACAAATCAGTTTTGGCGCATTTGAAAAAAGGTGGGTACAAAAAAAACTCGATATTTGGGTGCCTCACGAGCTTTGCCATTCTTTATTACAACGTTATGAAACCGAACTATTTTTGAAGAAGCCGATAACTGGTGATCAATGTAAAGTTGATCACGTATAACAGGAACGTACGAAAAAGGTCGAGGTTAAAGGCCGGTCAGGCTTCACAGACTCTGGCGAAAACAGGGTTAACTCGCAACAAGGTGATGCTGTGTGTACGGTGGGGTTGGAAGGGTATTATTCATTATGAGCTGTTACCGCCAGGCAGGACCATCGATTCTGAACAACTGATGAGATTAAAGTAAGAAGTTGAGAGAAAGCGACCGGAATTAATCAACAGAATGAAAAACCACACCCCTTGTGTGGTTTTTCATTATGCCTGTATTAACCTGGAAGCATTTTGCAGGCCGGCAAGGTGAGGATGGTTGGTGTCGTAGTTTATAACTGCTGTACCAGATATCTTCGCATTTGAACTTTATCACCACTTGACATCAGGTGGGGTAGAGTCATTTGCCTCCCTTGCTATATAAAAAACCCATCATCACAGTCAATCACCCATCTTTAGCCACTCAGCAAAAATTAAGAGTTTGAGTGGGAGGTGTTAATGCATTCGCCGTATAGTCTTAATCTTGCACCTTCAGATTTACACCTGTTTCGATCTCTTCAGAATTCCTTAGTCAGAGTCAAGTTAACATCATCACGATCAAAAGCCCCAAAATTCCCTCATGTCCTTACAAGATGGCAAAACGTTATCGAACAAAATGGCACCTGCATACTTTAGTTAAATGTTAATAAACTTAATT